TTAAGGGTAGATCCATTGTTGATAACACCCTACTGGCCTAGGAACTAGTAAGAGGTTATAACAGAAAGCGTTTATCTTCTCGTTGTGATATGAAAATGACCTTCACAAAGCCTTTGATTCTCTTAATTGGGAATTCATCACTGTTGTTTTAAAGGCCATGGGTCTTCCTCCTATTCTTATTTCCTGGATTGAAGCATGCTACAGGACTACAAGCTTTTATATTTCTTTAAATGGAAGTCTTATTGGGTATTTTAGAGGATCAAAGGGTGTTAGGCAAGAGGATCCTCTATCCTCTTTCTTATTTGCAATCTCTATGAATGTTCTTTCTAATCTCCTAAACTTGGCTACAACTAAAGGTTTGTTTAATTATCACCCTAAATGCAAGCACATTGGACTCACCCATCTCTCATTTGCTGATGATCTATTAATCTTCTGCAAAGGTACTATAGATTCTATTATTGGTGTTAATTCTATTCTTGATTATTTCTATGAAATTTCTGGTCTGAAATTAAATGCTTCAAAATGTGAACTTTTTTCTGCGGGTATTTCTAATTCAACTCTTGAGGACATGAGATTGATTACAGGATTCAAAATAGGAAGACTGCCAATCAGGTATCTAGGCATTCCTCTAGTCACTAGAAAAATTACTGACAAAGATTGTTCTGCCCTTATTGACGCTATCAAATCTCGTTTGCATAATTGGTCTGGTAAGGTTTTGAGTTATGTTGGACGATTGGAGCTTGTTAGAGTTGTTTTATTTAGCATAACTAACTATTGGTGCAGGCAGCTTTTCCTCCATTTTTCTGTCATTAAAAAGATTGACCAGTTATGTTCTAGATTCTTTTGGAAAGGTGCAGATAAACTGGCTGCTGGTGCAAGAGTGAGTTGGAAGCTAATCTGCCGACCTAAAACTGAGGGTGGTCTCGGACTCAAGGACTTAAAAACCTGGAACAAAGCTTGAATGATGAGCCTAATTAAAAATATCCTTACTGGTGAATGATCCCTTTGGGTGGCTTGGTTAAAGAGTTATATGTTTAGTACCACCGATTTCTGGTATGCCCCTGTTAAATCCAATATGAGCTGGTGTTTAAAGCAAATTCTGATGCTAAGGGCTGAAGCTTCATCTTTTCTGCCTTCGGTTTCCAAGAAAATTAATGACATATGGAATGACATTCGAGTGAAAAATCCTAAAGTTCATTGGCATTCTCTGCTTTGGTTTCCTCTTCTAATTCCCAAGCACAGTCTCATTGTGTGGATGACCTTCCTCGACAAACTTCCTACAAAAGAGAGACTGCACAGAATGAGTATCGTTAAAGAATGCCAATGCACTCTTTGTGGTGCTGGTATGGAAACCAGAAACCATTTATTTTTGGAGTGCCTGGTTGCCACTGCATTATGGACTGAAATCTTCACCCTTAATGGTCTTCGGTTTAGACACTTCACGTGGACTGCTCTCTTTGAATGGGCAGTGGCTACTTGGAAGGGTAAATCCCTTCTTACTTCAATTATGAAAATCTCTTCTAATGCTTTGATCTACATTATCTGGAAAGAAAGAAATAGGAGGCTTTTCCAATCTCATGCATCTACTGTCGAGGCTATGTTCGGTGAGATCAAGTAAATTGTTGGGTTCCAACTTAGGAGAAGGTTTACACATAGATTAGACATTGTTAACACTATTTTTTGTAACCAATGGGGTATAGTCTAAGTTTGTTTTGATTAGCATTTTATTTTTTAAGGGTGATCCTTGTATTTCTGAACATTGATTGTATTTTGTAGCAGTTCACTGCTCTTTAGGTAATAAAATCAAATTATCCAAAAAAAAATTCATCCGGCAACTGAAAAAGTTAGAATAGTATTTTACATTAATAATATGAAACAAACAAAGTGTGCTGTCAAATTCTGTCTCCATTGTTTCATACAAAATATGAATTTTGTACTTATTTTCATTGTTCTTTTATGTCCACTTTCTCCACAAATTTCTTATCCATAACTTTCCAAACTAATGCAGCAGTCAGCAGGCGCTTGTTAATCGAATCCCTTTTATACACTTTTTATTTATTTATTACCTTTTTAGTATTACACATAGTTTATGATGGTTGGATGAATAAAAGTAAAAAAATTAACTTTTTGTTTTTTAATAAATAATTTCTTATTTTATATTAATTTCAACCGTCAAGTTTTACTCATCTAACGGTCTTAAATTTATGTAAAATTAAAAAAATTACATTTTGTAAATTAGATACTATCTCTTTTTAATAAATAAATAAATATTTTAATATATGAATTTAATTTTAAGGTGTAATTTTACAAATAAAATTATTCAAACTTAAAAGTTTTGAGGAAAATAATATTCTATTTCACCATTAAATTCATTTAATGAGTTTCCTCTTTGATCATCTAACAATAAACAGTTTCAACATTACAATTTGAGATACATGTTGAATCACTTTTCCACATTCTAATAACTAACAGTTTGGATAACCCAGTGAACCCATGTATTGGATCAAAAAACGTGATGAGCTTATGATAATTTGGGTGTAACCTACTGAGTAGTATATTTACTCCCGTGTATGAATGACCACATGAAATCTTTGCCTTCCATTGTCGTTGAAAGCATAATATATATATATATATATATATATATATAACATTAATCATAAGCGTGCCCAGGATGGATAGGGAACTTGTCATCTTTGAAGAGATTAGCTTTGTCTAACAATAGTTTCGAGGGTTAATAGGAAGAAATGGAGAGGACTCGGGCTTCAACCATTTTCGTTCACAACATTCCATTGGAATGGATTGTGGACACTGTTCGAAAAGCACGGAGAGGTTGTTGATACTTTTATCCCGTCGAAGCGGGGCAGAAGTGGTTACAAATTTGGTTCTATGAGGTTCTGGAATAGAGGGGATGCGCTAAACAAACTGAATGGTAGCATGCTTCATGGGAACCGATTATTGGTTTAAAAGTTGGAATCAGTTTTGGAAGAAGGTGCAAGGTGAGCCAAAAAGAAACAATCGAGGAATATCCAATGCTAGAAAAGGTGTAGGAGATGGTATAGATGAATCCTTATGGACTCTCCAAAGATGTTTAGTGGGAGCTATTAGAGTTACATTGATTACTTGGGGTCTAGGGGGACTCGAGATTAAAAAGATAAATGGCAGGCAATACCTTATTGAAATAAAGGATGAAGAGTCTTCGACACTTTGTAACAACAGAACTGGTCTTGCCTTAGAGAAATTTTTGTTGAAATTACTCAATGATAAGAGGAACTAATTTTGACCGAAAGGGTGTCATGGATTGAGGTTGGAGGCATTCCTATACACTGTTGGAATCAAGCAAACTTTAAGAAAATTGCCGAAATCTGGGGAGAACTTTTAGCTTTGTGTGAAAACACTACAAACATTCAAAGTTATGACAGAGCAAACTTACTGATCACTATTTCCCAATCAAAGAGAGTGGATGATCTGATATTCCTGGAAGTGGGGGAATCAAGATACCCGGTCATGGTTATGGAGAACTCAATCTCAAGAACTCTCACGCTTTGAAGAGCAAGAGCCCCAAGTCATCTCCGGTGACTGTATGGGATGACTATATATATGCATCTATCTGTGTATCATTTAAACTTACATAATGATGCAGGGGAAGCCCCGGACTCATCGGAAATGGATGGAGATAACAGCAGTGAGAAGCTCTAGTCGCGTTGCAGACAAGCCCAAACCAAGCTACAAAGACGTAAGCTGATTTACAAAACACTTCCAAGGTTTTTGTCAATTGTCGTAAACTAGTGCTGAATGATACTATTATGCCTTTCCAAAATGCGTTTATCAGTGGAAGGAATATAACGATAGCAAGTTAGATCATACATAAAAACTGTAACATACATGGCGCGTGATAGAGTAAGTTCACATGGACGGACGCAAGATTTTAATTTTATGTTGGAGTGTAAATTTAGGAAATTATGTTAGAAATTTAGAGGTGGGAAGTTACAAAATTGTTGATGTTTCAATGAGAAAGTGGCATAAGTGGAGTGATGACACAATTTCTTGATGGTTGCCATGGCAGGTCCCTATTGAACCTTTGGAGAGGCTCCGAAGGTTAGACTCTAAGTGGATATTCATATATTATTTTGTGTGTGAAGATTCTTACGTTCTTTGATTATTTCAGCCTGACATTGTTTGCAGGAGCCACAGCCGGAGAGATTTGTTTAATCGAGTTTAAGCTTCGGCTGAAGAAAGAGCAGAACAACTTGAATCCACTTTAGAATCCGAGTATCCGAGTATCCGAGTTTTGTGAAACCCGTGCTCCAATCACATGTAACTGGAGGGTTTTGGCTAGTAAGATTGTTTTTCATTTTTCGTAATCCTTTGGCATTTGTTAAATAAGGAAATGAAATAACATTTTTGGATTGTGACATAGGGTTTCCCAATCCAATTTTGCAAGAAAAGCCTGACTCATCATGACGTGATAATGACTTTGGTGGATGAGGAAGGAGAGGAGTTTGAAACCAAATACCTTGGCGGCAAAAATGGTCTTAGCGCTGGTTGGAGAGGCTTTGCAATTGACCATAATCTAGTTGATGGGGATGCTTTAGTATTCCAGCTGGTAGCCCCAACTTAATTTAAGGTCACCTATTATCCTCCCCTCCAAACTTCCATTTCAATCAGCGACTCCCATCTATTCTTTAATTTGACTTTCAGGTAACGATTATAAGGTAAAAGTTGTTAATTATACTCACTTTTTTTGGTTTTGTTCCATAGGTGTTTATTATCAGGGCATATGGGTCAGAGGACGATAGAAGTGGAGAAGATAATGAAGTACAACAAGTAGATGAAGATAAGGAGGAGGCAGATGTTGAGCCAGACGTCCAAAACAGAGGATTTAAACGAATTCGTGCAAGTAATTACTTTCCACAAAACTTTCATATTAAATGGAATTTTTTTTGATTAATTGAATACTACGGAAGTGGTTGATTACTTAGTTGTTTGAGTTTGGAATTCCATCTTCACATCATAGCTTAGCCATCTGCTGTTCGAAGCTTGGATCGACGCAAACCGTCACCTGCAATGTAAATGGAATTAAGACCTAATTGTGGGGGATTAGCAGCAAATAGTTGATGAGAATTTTTAGCTCACCTTGCCACTACTTTTACCCGAATGGAGATGCTCAACAGCATCTGCAACAGAATGCAAACCTAAAAATCTTTTTGGATCTATTTCAACCTATTACACAATTGAACTTCAGCATGTTAGGAACTCAAGTAACAACATCAATGTTCAAAAGTGTTGATATCTGTATCATTAAGATCGAAGGGTATATGTAGCAGTACCTTAAGCTTTCCTGAAGAGTAAAGATCAAATAGTCTATCCAGGTGTTCTTTCCATAAATAGCTATATTGTGGCAGGAAAAAGCCAGCCTGAAAGCAAAACAATGAAACCACAAGAAATCCTCAGCCAAGAATACAAGATGATAGAAGGTTATATACGCAACATAAATCAGAAAAAGCTTAAAGTTAATGATTAACAACAACATACCACGGTTTGGCTTTTGGCTAAAAGCTTCTCGACAAGACCAGGATAATTTTTCGGTTTCCACCCATGCTCCCCTTGATACTATATATAAAGCAAATAGTTTAATCAAATACGAATGACAATGAGTCATTAGAAGCTATAAATTGCAAATACTAAGATTGGCTATATGGGAAACTTTAGTTTGCGCATTCTGAAAGAAACAACCTGAGAGATCATTCCTATAACAATGAGTCGGCCATGGATAGCCAAAGCATTCAAGCACAAATCAAACATGTCACCACCAACAGATTCGTAGACAATGTCAACTCCTTTTGGAAACTCCTCTTTGAGAACCTGGCAAACCAAAAAGTCTTATATTCCATCTGTAAAACCAACCAAATAACTCATTGCACGGTAGCATGACCAGGCCGCTATGCATGTCAATCAAAATCTTAGCCAGGCAAACAGTGTTTAGATCAATCTCTGACGTTGTGGCATAGATGATGATTAAAGGATGGCAACTAATATCTATATTCATGGAAGATGTGTCGGGATTATCTCAGTTCAAATGATTAAAGCAGTAGTGTAGATTACAATCCCTCTTGAGTAGAGTTCAAATGATTAAAGGATAATACACTTTAGCTAATTGTTAAAAGAATCTTATACTTCAAAGTATTGAGTAAAACATCAGCAATCTGATCAAATTTTATGCAGTAAAAAATAATTTGTATTGAACCAATGAAGTTTAGAATCCCCCCCCAAACCAAGAAAAAGGAGAAAGTTGACAAGAATTTCAGACATACACTTTTGATATCTTCAGTTTTATAGTCTATGACTCGATCAACCCCCAACTGTTTCAAAAGCCTCGCCTTTTCTTTTCCTCCGCAAGTGGCAACAACTTTATTTCCTGCTAGTTTTGCAAGCTGCACATATAGTTCTGATCAATATTTTTGTTTACTTCCCGGAAAAGGCAGGATAGGACATAGGAGTACATAAAAATAATATATGTAATATTGAAGCAATAAAATGAGTACAACTATAAAATAGAACTACTATCACTAGAGGAAGAAATAATGATGATTATATAAATATAAAAGTATATCTTTGAAGCTATTTGGTTAAATAAATATCAAAAGTCATTATGTATAAAACTAAGACAGGAATGAAACAAAAGTACAATAGGGCAATGATAGAACTCACCCAGCTTGACTTAGTTCAACAAACAATAGGGAAAACATGTATCCATCATATTAAAGTTGACCACTATCATATAGAACTTAGACAAATTCAAGTAATAAATAAATGTAATTTAACTTTAGGACGAACCTGGACCGCAAATTGTCCAGTCCCTCCAGCAGCAGCAGTTACAAGGACGACTTTCCCAGATTCCATCAGACCAACCTATAAGGTCAAAAAGGGGGGAGATAGAAAAAATTTCAGAGAAAGCAGAGCAGTCTGAATGGAGGACTACAATATACACCAATAAAGCGTGACAAAAGAAGAGATACGGACACAAAGTTACAGGGAGAATTCAGGCAAATACATAGGGTGATGGGTGAAAAGTTCGAGAGTGACAAGGGATTGGGGAGAATGGTAAAGTTATCTAAATAACAAAAAATGGAATAACAAACCTTTTCCAAAGCGATTGATGCTGTAAATCCTGAAGTAAGCATAGCAACAACTTCTGGATCAGGTCTTCCAATGGGAAGTATATGCTTTGAAGGGACCTAGTTTTGTTCAACATTCAATATTTCTTCACTTCAATTTAAATATGATTTAGTAGAGAAGGCCTTAAAAAAATTGAAATAGAAGATGAAACAAGATGCTTATAAACATAATAAATAATAAAAATGGATATCATACCGTCATGAATTCAGCATAACCTCCATAAACCATGATTGCAGCAGGAGTTCCAACTTCCAAATTAATTACAGAATCTCCAACGGCAGCAATTATTCCCACTGCCTGTAACAGCAAATAACATGAAATTAACTAGATATCAATTTTTTTTTTCTTTTTTTGGGGGGGGGGGTGTGGGGAGCCTAATATCAGATGCAGTGATAATTTTACGACTAAAACCATAAGATATCAGCATAACTGAACTATATTACCACATGCTGCATTTAGTTACTATTTTCCCGCACCTCAAATCCAGCATCAAATGGGAGAAGGGAACTGATGTCTTTCTTGTTTCCTAGGAAATAACGACCAGAGCTAAAGTTCACCTGTGTGCAACATGTTATTCAATAACATAGACATAAGTATATACGTTTGTAATTACACATTGAAAGAATTTACTGAAATGTAAATGTATTGAGGAAAGGCAGAAAACAGCCTAGGAAAAATTATTACCGAATGGAGAGTAAGATCAACAAAACAATAAAGAGTAAATCATGATACTTGTTCTCTTTCTTACCTCCTCCACACCCTTACTATCTTTGTAAGGAAAAGAAAAATAAACCCAATTACATTTTTAATAGTAAAACAATGATAAAAAGGCACTTCCCTTGGCTTGAAGGTGTCCTGAAATTAAAACACAAAGAAGGAAATCCTTTCTTCGATCCATCTCTTATATTTCATGTTCTTTCAAAATATCTACAGCTTTCTTCCTTTCAGTACATATCCTACATTCTTAAACTCAATTAACCCTTCTCTTTGTTCCACGCAACCCTACTCTCAAGAACATGTTAAGATGCCAAAATCTCTCCTTATAAGTTGTAACTTCAGTCCATATGATTTTTGGTTATCATCCAAGCCTCTGCAATCATTTGCACCTCTCTTAATTAACTCACTTAGCAATTTCCCATCCTTTCTTGTGCATGTCCTAGCCATCTAAGCAAATCTTACACATCTTCACGTAGAAGTGAAAAGGTTGGATGCAAAAAATAATTAATTAAAATTACTCAAAACCAAATTAATCATTAAAGGATAGTAGAAAACTTACATCACTTGCGTTTACACCAGCATAAATGATTTTCAAAAGAACATGGCCTGATTCAATTGGTAGTTTCAATGGCGCACGTACTATGCGAGTAGCGTCACGAAAATTGTGACTCAATTTATGCACAAATCTGAAGAGGAAGATTAAAAAAGGAAGTAGTCAGCAGCTATAAGAAACCAATAAACATCCAACTTTCTATGACGGTTATTAGCAGCAACTAATACAAAAAGAAAGTTCACTGGAAATATTCATGAATGCTTGCTTCTATGAGTTTAAAGTTTGATATTAGTGAGCAGATATGGAACACAAAGTAGAAAACAAAAAAGAAAATTGTTGTTAAAAATGATTTATATCAGTTAATTGACAAAAGCCAAGGTCATAAATGCTATAAAAGCAGTTCACCTTATCATTTGGTGAAGTATGCAGGACCTATTTATTATATTTCACTTGCCCACTGTATTGGTTCTGCCCCAATATTTATTTTACTTCACCTATTCAACTATCTTTTTCTTTCTTATCTATTTTCTATCACATTATTGTTTTATCTTTCTTTTCTGCCTTGCTACTAGATTAGGGTAGAGTTCCAAAATGAGAAGATAAAAGATTTCAGAATGAACTGGAGGCAATAGTTAGAATTTCCTGCAATTGCCATTTGAAGACTACAGAAAATTTTCTATAAGTTTCTTCTTTTATTAGAAGACCGTTTCAGAATGAACATCCCATCAAGTGATTTGAGTTCAATGGTTTCAAAAAAAAAAAACTGGATTATATAAAGTTAAAGGTTTTGGTAGCTATATCTATTGAAGCAAATCGTTTTTTTTTATTGTTCAAGTACTGAAGCAGATCTTAACACCAGAAAAGGTAATCAAGTTCAAAAATCTCTGCTGAATAAAAACTTTTAGATTCATACATGTTGTCCCAAAATTGTACTTTTACGAAACTGCAAGAACTCAAGCTAGAGTTTATGCTGGCCAACCCAAGAATTGTACCCGTTACTCCCATCATATAATTCTACTTAAACTTCTCAAAACTGAAGCAGTACTTTGACATTTTACTTACACTTTCTCAAAACTCCGAGGAAGTTCGGTGCTTAAAGGAGCTCGCAGTGAAATTTTTTTCCCGGAATTTGAGGAAGAACGCACCAAGTATTTTGCTTCTTCTGTTGGACCGGGCCAATACTCCATACCTCTCCGGTTTGTAATCCATAGGCAAGAACCAGCTCTGCTCTCATCCATAATAAGCTCAAAAGCACCTAGAAATGAACAAGTTCATAGAAAGTAATCGATTAAAAAAATTCAAAGCAGCAGAAAAAGAGGACCTTTGAGGCTGAACAAGAAGTGATCTGAGAAGCAAAAACTAATTTTTAATTTCAGCGTTTATCTAACAGAAAGTTTGACAATGACAGACCTCTGAAAAGAAAATGACAAACAAGCAAGTGAGAAAACAATGTTCAAGTGGGAAATGGAGCACGCTGTTTACTCTCTTGTTCAATTAATTAAAGCATCTTGCTTTTAGCACAACCTATGTTTACCGACTCCTCATCCTCCTTTAATTCTGTTTCTTTTTGGGGGGATCAAATCCTCCCTTAACTTTGTGTTCAGCTACTTGTATCCAACATGAATTTAGATATAAGTATGAAGCATGATCCTTATATACATGAAAAACTTTAAAATTATCAAATATCAAACACAGGTCCAAATTCGGGAAATGTCCATAAATGAAGACTTAATGAACACGGACAATTGTATAAAAGATAATATACCTTCCACCACTTTTTCCATCTGCACATAGCCACCGAGTAGAGTAAGATATTTGA